AAAAAAAAAAAAAAAAAAAAAAAAAAAAAAAAAAAAAAAAAAAAAAAAAAAAAAAAAAAAACACCGTGAAACATGTCTGCTTGCCAGGCAATTCGTTCTTGGCCAGGCAACAGATAGGGGGTCTCGCTGCACTACTCTCGAAATATGCAAAACGAGAGTGCATCACCGCCAAGATTTTTGTCTTTTGTGCATGTCGAGAGTAGTGCAGCGAGGCCCAGGGTCTCGCTCCACTACACTTGACTCTAGAGTTAGTCGAGTATTGTCAGACTCTGGAAAACATAAAAAAGTCAGACTCAGACTCTGGAAAACATTAAAAAGTCAGACTCTGGAAAACATAAAAATAAGTCGGCCTCGCTGTACTTAGGGCCTAGTTGCACTACTCGCCATCGGCCCCAATTCGTGGCGGATTGGTGGAGAGTGAAAAAAAAGAGAATCATGTCGAACTGGAGGCCTGCTTGCACTTAGGGCCTAGTTGCACTACTCGCCATTCGCCATCCGTCACATTTCGTGGCGGATGGGTGGAGAGTGAAAAAACTGAGAATCGCGTCGAACTCGAGTCCTGGTTGCACTTACTCGCCATTATATTTCTTCTACAGAGAAGTTAATTTTTTTTGTCTACCTGATGTCGACTCGTGAAGCCCTGCACTCTCCAGAAAGCTGTTGTGTGGAGAGGTCCGAGGACCACTCTCCACAAACCGCCGTGCACAGGCGGGGAAACCGAATTCACTCTCCACAACTTGTGTCGACGGTGTGGCGAGCCGTCCGACACATTTTGCATTCGTCAAGTTTGGCGAGTAAGTGCAACCAGGCACCTACTCGCCAAACTTGGCCTATGGAGAGTAGTGCAACTAGGCCCTTACTCCGCACAATATTTCTTCTTCTACAGAAAAAAAAGGTTCAAAAAACATTTGTCTGCCTGATCTGGACTCTTGAAGCCTTCCTTGCACTCTGCAGAAAGTGAAGTTGTTTTGTGGAGAGGTCCAAGGACCACCACCCTCCACAAAACCGAAAACAGTTTCTGGAAGGTGGTGGTCCGCGGAACAACTTGTTTTGTGGACAGGTCCGTGAACCCGCCTGTGAAGCCGTGCACAGGTGGGCAAACCGAAAACACTCGCCACAACAAAGCCGTGCACAGGTGGGCAAACCGAAAACACTCGCCACAACTTGCACAGGCGGGCAAACCGAAAACACTCGCCACAACTTGTGTCGACGGTGTGGCAAGCAGTCTGACACATTTTTCATTCGCCAAATTTGTTTGGCGAGTGAGTGCAACCAGGCGCCTACTCGCCGAACTTGGCATATGGAGAGAGTAGTGCAACCAGCCCCTTACACTGGAGGGTGCTACTGTAGAAAGACACTCCAACAATCAAGAAGACCATCTGGTTTGTCCAGTTCCACAACACGACACCGCCAGCCTAGTCTGTCCACCCAGACTTGTGGCAGACTCGTGGATTTGGGCGCCATTTCAAGACCAGAACGGAGGATCCTAGAGGAAACCGGTGCTGCAGGCTGGGTCACTCTATCTAGAGGGGTCCAGAGTGTGGGTCTGGAGCATTTTCTGACAGCACTAGACACATTTTCGAGCGGTATTTGTAGTGTAAGTTGAGCGAAGCAGAGCTCTCGAATTTTTGAGAGTGGTGTGGTGGAGCGAGATCCGTAGGTACACTGACAGCTGCACAGACAAGTAATATGAGATCGGATCTGCTTGCCAGATGAGATGGGCTCAGATGGCAAATAGGCTTGTAAACGAAGTATGTCTGTTAAAAAAAAGAAAGAAAAAAACGAAGCAGTTTGCAAGCTCACAGAGAGAAAAGGGATGATGAAGGGAAAGTCGAAGCCGTGTGGTGGCATCCAGTCCACATGCCATGACTCACCCCACGTAGTACCACCACCCAGCCCGCGTAGTATCACCCAGTCCCGATAGTATGACCGACCCGACAGTGCCATCCAACCCACTTCGTCTAACCCAGGCCTCATGATGCCATCCTGCCCACATAGTACCACCCAGTTTGCATAGTACGCCCCCACTTAGTGTGACCCAGGCGACATAATGCCATCCTGCCTACATAGTACCACCCAGTCCCCGTAGCACTGGCATTATGCCTACATAGTACCACCCAGTCCCCGTAGCACGTAGTGCGACCGGTTCCACATCGTACCGCCCAACTCGCATCCCACATAGTGCCACTCGTCCGCATGGTATGACCCACCCCAGGTAGTACAACCCACCCCGCATGGTATCACCCAGGCCACATAACACTGCTCGGTCCACATAGTACTACTGGAGGTGCCCAAGGAGGAAGGGGATAGCGGAGCAGGAAGGCAAGGTGGTAGAGAACTCCTCGTCGTCGTCGTCGGAGGTGGCGGGGGAATGGGAAAGACGAGAAGTAGCTGTGCACTGCAGGCCCGTAGTCGTGGCGGGCATCCACCTGTCTCCTTTTGATGGTCCTAGTCTGTCACGCCTTCAGAAGTCGTGGGTCCAGATCCCGTTTAAAGGTGCAGGAGTCTACTGAGTGTCGCAGCATAGGCAGGCAGGCTAGCCGCTCCGGTTTCGTTCTTCGTTTGTTGTCCATTACTTGGGCCACGACTATTTCACGTCCGCTGCAGAGTGTATAGATCAACGGGTCACACTAAGGTTGCATTATCCACTGAGAAGCCAACCCATAACCCTTGGTTGCTATTTTCCAACCTATCCTCTTGTAGTGGTCGTAGTCTGTCACGCCAGAAGTTGTGGGTTCAAATCCCCTTCTTTTTTTTTTTTCCTTGGAGGCATGGTTGAGTGGCTGAAGGCACTGGTTGTTATCTCCTGACATAATATTTCCTTTCAATGGTCCTAATCTGTCACGCAAGAACTCGCAGGTACAAATCCCATGTGTTTTTTGCGGGGAGGTGTGACTGAGTGGCTGAAGCCATTGCTTGCTTAGTATCTCCGGGCCTATCTCTTTTCAATGGTCCTATAGTCTGTCAGGCTAGGTTGTCACAGGTTGAAATGGTCCTATGGTCTTTCTGGGAAGGTGTGGCTGAGTGGCTGAAGGCATTGGTTTTTATCTCCGGACCTATCTCTGGTCAATGGTCCTAGCCTGTCACACGAGAGGTCACGGGTTCAAATCCGGTTTTTTTTTCTCCGGGGAGGTGTGGCTGAGAGGCTGAAGACACTTGTTTGCTACATGGAGTGGAGCACCGCGATTCTTGAGGTGTGTTGAGGTGTTTGAGATGATTTCTGACACTTGCTGTCATTGTTTTGGTGTTGACAGTGCAGGTACATTCTTGAAGTGAAGGAGTTGGAATTCTACAAAAGAAGATCCAGAAGAAGGGAAGGGAAGGGTGATGGTGGTGCCGACGGTGGTGGTGCTTAGTGCTAGCGATGGTGGTATTAGGTGCGATGTCGCACCGGGCTTGGTGTTGAGATCCGTTTCCACTCCATAAGCACAGACAGCAGAGATTTGTCTTTAGCTGTTGCTCTGGCGCCCCTCACTGCCTTGTCTGTGAGGAGAAGATAGATTGTTTTGATTCTTAAGCTTGGTCAGGCTCTTGAGACGCCTCTTGACGCCCCGGCGGAAGTAGCGGCTGCTGTTGTAATGGAGTGTATGACCAAGAAAATTCCCTGTCGCTAACAGGCAAGCCCGAACCAGCCTCGGAAAACAGGCCCTTTGCAGGTTCCTCGCGGGACCAAATTGAAAATGGTCCCACAACCAGGTTTGGTAGGGATGCTGGCCCCGCGTTGGGGTCCGGTAGCGAAAAAGGACTCAGTCTGGTGACTGGCAACTTGAAGCAAGGTTGTGAAATATATGAGTTAATAGTTATATAATAATCTGATTTTTCATCATTTTTGCAAAAACCACTTTTTGGAGGTTTTTCTACGTTCGTCAATCTGTCGTTTGATTGGAAGTTTCGTGGGTCAATGCTAGGTAGTCTTTGAATCACAACACGACTCTTCTGCCGTGGAATGCAAGTTGTAACCGAAGCCCACCTATCAGGCCCTCAACTAAAGCATGCCAAAGTTGCGTGTGTCGCTACGCGCTAACTCCTGTGATCTTTTTTTGCCGTGGCTGCTAGATGATTCGGGGGACTAGATTGTGGTCTGGATGAGATTGTGGTTTGTCAATCAGCTGTTTTCGGGAGTCGGTGAATGTCACTCGTCTCTTTGCGAAGTGAACAGGGTCGGAAGTAGTGGGGGACAAAAGAAAGCAGCAGGGAGGGGAAGAAAACACAAAACTGCTGCCTTGCCCTTGTCTGGACTGTCTTCTTTAACCTGGCTGATCGTCACTGTGTTGCAGGCTGACCCCTCGCTTTCGATGCCTTTCTGACGTTTTCTCTGTCTCGGGAGCAGTAATAAAGCCCCTCCCATGGCAACACCTTTGTATTTGTTCGCCCCCAAACGCGGCAAAAGCTGCGCGAGGCTGTGAAACAGACTTCCCTGCGGTGTGGCGTCAGTCCCGCGTGGGCCATTTTTGTTCCTTTTGCACGGTGTCAGGCAGCCAAAAGAAAACCTGCAACCAACCGGCCTATCTCAGTGGGTGCACTTATAAAACTGCTGAAGTACCGACTTGAATTCCATGAAGATCCCCTCGTCCAACCTGTCTTCGTTAGCTTGGCTGCGTATTGATTCCCTTTCGACGCTCCCTGAACAACGAAGAGAGTGAGAGGCATGAACGGGGAGAAGATGCAAATGCAGCAGTAAGCGGGGAAGAGCTGCACGCCTACGTAGTGTGAGTAGTGTGAGGCTGACTTCCGTATCAGTACTTCACGATCCATTCCCTTCATATCTCGCCCTGTTACTTACCGGAAGCAGAAGCAGAAGCAGAAGCAGAAGCAGAAGCAGAAGCAGAAGCAGAACTTATCGAGCGAGGTAGAGGTCGGAGTTTGGGTTGTTAATAGGGAAGGAAGATCTCTCTCTCTCTCTCTCTCTCTCTCTCTCTCTCTCTCTCTCTCTCTCTCTCTCTCTCTCTCTCTCACGCAGGTGTCTCAGTTGGTCTATCGGTTAGAAAAGTTAGACGCAAACCGGTGGGACAGGGAAGGTGGAGGAGGGGCCGAAGATGGAAAACGGTGGGAAACGGAAAATGGAAGGGGGGGCTTCACAATTTGATCAGAAGGTACGGAGAACGGTATTCCTAGACGAGATTGCTCCACAGGTTACGGTACCCATAATGCAGAGTGCACTTTCCCAATTTGGAAAGGTGGCAAGTATCAAGTTGCTGCACCATCCCCTGAGTGCACTTGTCCCACAAGGGTGCGCTCTGATAGAGTTTTCGAACGAGGAACAAGCAATGCGTGTAGCGGCAACCACTCGCAAGAACCTGTTGATGGTGGGTGGCATGCCTCGTCCTGTCCGTGTGCGCATGGCCTCTAAGTACATGTTCGATACTGCAGAGGTCGAGAGATCGAACCTCCAACAACAACAACAGCAGCAGCAAGCTTCATCGCCGCAGTATGAGCAGCAACAGAAGCAGGAGGACAAGGAGAAGGCAAAGCAGGACGAAGAAAGGCCAAATAAGTGGAGAATGCGCGTGCTGAGTCCGGGCGATCCAAAGATGGAGAAGGCACAGAAAATAAAGGCGGTCAGAGCGAGACAGGCGGCAGAGATGAAGATGCTGCTGGAAAAGCACGAGGAACAAAGGGCTGAGCTTCATAGAAGACAGGAGAACCATTGGGAGGATGAGCACAAGAAACTGGAAATGATTGTCAAAGCAGGCAAACATCATGGTCTGGACGAGTTGCGTTCTTTCTTTGGCATGGGACCACCACAGAAGCTCTGACTCTGAGAGCGCAATATCAACGGATGAAGATCGGCCGTTGCTATGGCGGGAAACGTTTATGGTGTGGGGGGGGGGAGGAGGTGGGGAGCAACAAGAAAAGAAAAGAGGGTAAAAAAGCTGCGAGCATTAAAAAAGGAGGGGAGCAAGCTACCCTAATGATAAAGGGGGAGGAGGGCGATGAGGAGGAGGAGGAGGAGGAGGGCGATGAGGAGGAGGAGGAGGAGGAGGAGGAGGAGGAGAAGGAGGAGGAGGGGGCGTGGAAAGGGGGAGGGCGAAGAGGAGTTACGCTCGGTATGCGGCCTACTCTGAAGCTCTGATTCGGAGCACAATGGATCAAGCTCATCAGAATGGCAGAAAAAAGCGAAGATGATCACAATGGCAAGAGAGATGGGAGCATTGGAAAGGGAGGGGATGGGAGCACTGGAAAGAGAGGGGAGGAAACCCAGGTGACGATGATGGGAATGATGATGAGGACGGAGGAGGGAGGGAGGAGGGGGGAGGAGGAGGAGGAAGAGGAGGAGGGGGCAGGAGGGAGGGAGGA